AAATGTGTTTTTTTGCATATTTAAAAAAAATTAAATTAAATTTTGCAAAATAGTATATCAAACGATTCCAAAATTTTAAATTAAACATTTAAAAGCATTTCGCATACATTTTTTCTAAATTTTCCATCTCGTTACTCTGCTGAATCGGAAACGACAAATGAAGTCGGGGAGAAAAAAAACTATTTTTAAAATTATTGACAACTCGATCTTGGTCGATGAAAAGACTCCCGCGACAGTGAATTTCGACTTAAAATCAAATAACGACAAAAAACGACATCCGTGATTCAGATCTTTAGTTTGAACTACGCTTTAAGTGTAAACAACGTAACGCTTGAAAATCGGAAATATTTAATCTTTTTAAGGATTAACTTTGTATGTGTATGCAATATTTATGTAAGATTTTTCTTTTCTTTTTTCTTGTAGGCATAAATTTTAAGCTAGGTATGTACGTACATACACACACATGGATACATTAAACTTGGAAGATCACTTAAATATCTCCCCAATTTAAACATAATGTTCTATTTATTTTTTCATAGCACAAACGAAACTGGTTCTTTTTTAACTTTTTTTTTATTAAACTATTTTTCATTCTTTGACATGGAAAGAAATAAATATGTATTCTTTATATTCTCCATTACGGATGATATTTTAAACTGAGATTATTAAATTGAAAAAAGTTTTATTAGAAAAATCTTAATGTGTACAAATTTAAATACGTAACGCGTACATTAGAAAATTATGTAATAAAAAAAATTTCTCTCATTATTATTTACATCATTTCTTTACGTATTATACGAAGTATATGTACCTGGTCTGATAATGATGATACAATGTACATGTATAAAATACATACTATAGTTTTTATACTCTCTTTTACAGTGTATACAAAAATAAAAACAGCACAATAAAAAATATGAGAAATGAGAAAGTATAATAGCAAAATTTGGTGAGAAATTCTCAAATTGAGAATATTTAATATATATGTACATATTTATGTATGCATTTATATAAAAAGATACATGTTAGTTCTAAAGCAAAATTTATACTCATTTAAAACATAAACCAATTATTACTGATTGTAGATCGAAGACAAAAACCATTTAAAAATTTAGTACAAAATATCACACTCAAAAATTTTTGTTATGTACAATAAATTTGTTTGTATAAAATATGGCTTAAAAGAAAAACAAATATCAGTTGGTTTTTGATGTGTGTAAACATAAAATGTCAGTCGTCGCCGCTTCATTTGTTTTGTTTTTAAAATTTCTTTTTGTGTTTTTTTTTTCATTCTTGTGCATACAATTTTGATTATATTTTAATATAAAATATTTAAGTGTTATTTTATTTCATCTATTTATTTATAAAAGGTGTTTGATAAAATTTTTAATAAAAGATTTGAAAAATTTTTGCAAAAAAAATTCTTTGAATTAAATTTTTGTTAAGAATGTCTTTATCAGATGTTTGACAAATGAGACAGAAAATTCGGTTTGAGAGGAAATAATTGTACATATATGTATACACACACTAGCAACAGACAGTTGACAGAATTTTGTAAGTAATTTTAGTCGGGATATTTAAAGTTTTATACAAGCCGTAGTAAAAGCGCGTTTCTCCTTGTGCCATATTCGTTTTTTTCGTCAAAGTGGAATTATTTGGCTCTAATTAACATAACAAAAAAAAACACATTATAAAATTCAATATTTTCATATTTAAGGAATATTAAAATAAGTGAATTAAAATAATTGAAAAGTTTTATGAAAAATTTGTATTCGGAATCAAAAATTAAAATTTTTTGAGTGTAAGTTTGTTGAACTTTAAGTTTTTTTTTTCTTTTTCTTTCAACAATAAGTATGTACAATGCACAGGCATAATATATATATTATATATATATATATATGTTCCATTTTATTTGTCAGTTATAATTGTAATTAATTTAACTATTTTGAAAAAAAATTTTCCTTGTAAAAAATAACCCTGTTTATAATATATACATAAATATGTATGTTTGTGTATACATAGGTAATGTGCAAATTTTAAATATTTGATATGTAATGAAAAATGGTTTTTTTTATTACATGCGTGCATTAATCTTTAAAAATGATGTAAAATCCAAAACAAATGATATAGAAGCATACGTACATGCAAGTAAATCACAAATATCAAAATAAAAGTGGAAATATCAATTTTCTTGAAAAATATGTATGTACATATTTCAATACATAAATTGTATGAAATAAGTATGTATATAATTTGTATAAAAAATAAGTGTTGCCATTAGAAGGATGTTTTTAGTTGAGAATTTTGTTTTTGTTTTTTTTTGAGAAAAGTCATTTTAAGATAACCAATAATGAAAGCGTAGGGTTTTCCACATTACTTGTCATTAACAAATTCAAGAAGTAAATTTCGAGTCTTAATATCAGCTGCTCACTAGATAAGTGAAAAAACTAAACAAAATTAAAACGTAAAGTACGGTGATTTTTCTAAATAAAAAAAAGACTTTTTAAATATTACAGTAAATGTCAACTTCACTGCAATTATTTAAAACCCAATAACAACAACATAGAAGTGCACGTTTAAAAGTCAATAAAAGATTTGCGATATCTATGTTCATAAAGCGTCAAAAAATATAACTGGCAATGATCGCAAAAGTAGTATTGTGAAAATGAGTGATAAATAAATGGTATTTTTTTATAATTTTACCTTGAAATCCTATTTCTGCATATTAACTTTTGTATGGAGTTTGTAACTACTTGTAGGAATATACATATATAAAAATATATGTATGTACATGTCATCTGCGGTATGGACATATATGAACTGGTTTTTTTGATAGTGGTATAAGTCCATTTCTTTATATATTCAGATATTTATGGGCTTGCGTTTGAATCAATTTAAAAATTCTGGCCATAATAACATAATTTGTTAGTTTTATGTCTACATAGAACTCTGTTGAAATTTTGATTGTAAATAGTGGAGAGAAGTTGTCTTTAACTCACTAAAATTACCATTATCTTAGCCTTTTTAAAAAGTAGACTTATGCCACTTTCAAAAAAATCAGTTCATATATACATTTTTGTTCAACGTAAAATTATGCGTCGATTTAGACATGTCCGTCCGTCCGATCGCACGATAACTCAAAAACGAATATTGCAATCCACACCAAACTTTCACAAGTTGTTTCTTTAATATAATAATTCAATATAATGCTACATATGCTCTAAAAATTTTAATGGGATAGCTGCACCGGTTCGGGTGACTGCCATACAACTCCAAAAGCAAATTTTTTAAATTTTTTATATTTAAAATCAAATTCATGAAACTTGGCAGTTGTGTGTCCAATTATAGATCAGATATATTTGCGAAGTTTTAGTTGAATTGCTTGACAGGTTCGGGTACCTGCCATACAACCCCAAAGGCTAATTTTAAATATTTGGAAAATAATAAAGTCTGATTCATGAAACTTGGCCGTTGTGTGTCCAGTTATAGGTAGAAGTTTCTATACAACAACGAAAGGTGCAGGGTATAATCTAATCGGTTTATACCGACTGAAACGTTTTTATTTGTTATATTTTAATTCGTTTATAAATCTATGTTTATATACGAATTATTTTAATGTAACTAACATTTCTAATGTCATGAGATTTCATTAGAGAAAAAATCTCGATAAGTAAGATAAAATTAATAATTGTGAAGGAATATAATTTTAAATGAACTTGTTCAAAAAAATCTGAGATAGGAAATGCTAGTTCAAAAGTTTCGTGCTACCTGAATTTAAATTCGATAGCATTACTTAGTACTGTTTGGTCAAAAATTTTACATTAATTTTTAAAAAATTTTTGTATGTATTTAGATTTCACCTAAAAGTACGACTAACATGTAGACACGTTTCTTCCATCCAAAATTGCCCATCTTTTATGTTATGAAAAAAATAGAGCCAAAGTATGATAACGACTTTTATTTCACATAATGACATTTCTGGCAACACTTACTTATATACTATTAAATGTTTACGAAAATTCTCAGGGTTATTAAGGAAAATGACAAATATGTACATAAATAAAGAACATAATTATTATGAATAGGAAACTGTTTTGTTAAAACTTTTGTTAAATTTAAATTAAAGCAAACTATTAAAATTACTTGATAACCATTTTCATATTTAGAATAAACAGCAAGCTTTATTAAATTTACTTAAAACAAAGAAGGTGAGAAAAGTACAAAAGGATTTTTTTTCTAGAATTTTTCTTGTCGAATTTGCAGAACTTACAATGGGTGAGAAATAAAATTTTATAAATAATATATTCTATCTACATTTTTTCGGTATTTATACAAAATAATTATAGAATTTTTTCGGTAGGTGACCATTAGGTCAATTTTTTCGGTAGGATACATTAAACCAAATACATACATTCTATGTACCTACGAACATATACCAAATAAAAGTTCTCGATTTTCGTAGAAAAGTAGATAATATAATAAAGATATGCAGGTAGTATACTAGTTATGTGTGTAGATTGTAAGTATGTGTGCGTATTTTCTATGACTACCTCATTACTCCCTTACGGGTAGGTATTACAGTAGTTATGTAAATCGTTTAACATATTAGGCTCTTACGGCCAAGGACTAACTTGGTTGAACGTACATAAGTACACATGCATGTAAGCCTATGTACTTTCCTATTTTGGGTTTGTTTCTTTAATTTTATAGAGCATGTGCGATTTGTTCCAATAAATTTGTTTTTTCTTCAGAGCAGCAGGTAAATCGCTCAGAACAGCTGGATTAACTTTTACAATTTCACAATTTTAAATGCAATAACAAATATTACCTGACATTCCTTGAACAAATATCTTTGAGTAAAATAAGTTTCAAAACACTTAGAATAAGTTAACTTATTGTTAATTTAAATAAGTAAATAATTTGTGCTAATTTAAATAAGTAATTTCTTTAATCTTTTTTTTTTATTAAAATTCATTAAGTGGAACTTTGTATAATTTCAGATTTATCAGTTATCATTTCAATATGTCTGATAATAAATTTGAGGAAAAATGGCAGGAATTGCAAAAATTTGTACCATTCTTACAAAGAATTATAAGCAATTTAAAACGTCAAATGAAAGACAAACCACGAGTTGTTCAACTAGAGAAAATGGAAATGTTACATGAATTATTAACAAAAAGAGACAAGACTAAGTAAGGAATTAATCTTCAATATATTTAACATTGAATTATTTATTTCTCGTGTAATATTATTTTTAGACTTAAATATGAAACATTGGTAAAATGTGAGACTTTATTGAACAAGATTTATAGTAAAGTTGAAAAGGTACGTTTCATCACGATTGAAGTGAAAGATTTATTTATTTTTTATAATTTATTTTTTTTGCAATTGTTAGATTCCATTAAAACCAGTTGTAATGTCAACTGAAGTTGTAGAGATATCAGAGCCAGATAGTCCGCCACCTGGTAATCAAATTGCTCAAGAATACCGTCCTCCAATTGAAATACCAACCGAAAGAGAATTATCTCCAGAATCTCATGTAAATAAAACAATTTCGAATCCAAATGAATCAAAAATGGTAATTTCAAGTGACTTATCATTGGAAGAATTATTAAAGAGGCGAGAGCAATTAGAAAATAAACTATTTAACTGTAATACGAATAGTAATAGTAATAGTTCAAATGAAGTTTCACTTATAAATGAGCCAAAACGAGATTCCGAAACAAATAAAAACAGTAATTCGATTATAAATTATGATCATTTCGACATAGAAAGTAAAAGTGATTCTCCAAGTTCAGCAAATAAATTTTTACCATTTATGCCTAATTTGCTCATATCAAATAAACTGTTACTTGATAAAAATGAAAAGGGAGGATCACCAAAAAATTGGATAAAACGAACTGATCCTTACGAATCTCCACAAAGACCCATTACAACTATTATAACAGGCAGGCCCTCACCACCTATATCTTGGAAAGATGATTTTATTGAACAACAACCTAAGTCGCCTGTTATGGTAGATGAGGTAAAAAAAATTCGAGACAAAAAGTTAGAATTATGGTCAAAAAATGATAAATATTCAGAAGCACAGAATTTAAAATCGAAAAGAAGAACTTCTACACCAGATTGGGATGCTGAAATCGAAGAGGAAGAAAGACTGAAAAACGAAAAGAAAATAAATAAAAAAATGGAATGCTCAATAGAATATGGTTGTCCTAATAACGTTGATCCTGCTTTAAAAGGCCCTAGCAATAGAGAAAAAAGTTTAGAAAGTTCTAGAGATCGAAATAAAGATAAAAATCGACTTCATACTCAAAAACAAAGTCGATGGGATGTCGAAAATATTGATGATATTGAGAAACAACACTCAAAAGATAGACACAAAAAATTGGATTTAAACTCAGAAAAAGCTAATGTAGACCATTCCTCATCAAGAACAAAATTATCACCGCCACCAATATTGTCTCATGTTACTAAATATCTTGATGATATTGAAAGTTCTGAAAGTTGTTCTTTGTCTCCAATTGATTCCTCAGATTCTAATTTATCAACAAGTCGTACAGTTAAGATTCGAAAGGGTGAGGATTTGAAAGTTCAATTTCAAAGTGATGAAAAGAATATATTAGAACAACAAAGAGCTTCTGAAGAGAATTTAATAAAAGTGCATCTAACTTCGGCTGCTACATCTTCAGTTAAATCTTTACAGGGCGAAGATTTAAAAATTCAAGTTTTAAATGAAAAATTCAGGCCTCAAAAGCCAAAGAATGTTGGAGAGTGCTTAAAAAAATTAAATGCATCCAATGTTTCATCGAATTTAATCATAGATGTTTTAAAGAGTCCACCTTTAAGTGCTAATGATATCGATGACTTACTTCATGAGTCTGGTTCTGAAAATACTGTAGAACCGATTTCAACATGCAAACCTAATCTATCTGAAGTTCGAAAAAAATTAGCAAAAATATCAACAAAATTGAATCAAAATAATATTATAAACGATACTAAACGCACTGATTTTGAGCATGATTCCATAGACAATCCCATCCAAAATCATCCTATATCCCCTATTATGGATTCCAAAGGAAATGATCGGCTAGCTTTAAAATACCATCCACACACTAAGAAAAACTCCAATAACAACAGCAATATCGAGAGTGATGTCAAGAAAAATCGGTGTGAGAAATTGGTTGAGTTTAATAATTTGAAGACATCGTCGAGTTGTAATGCTAATAGTGTTATAAATAACTTTCCAACGGTTAATCCAAATGACCCTAGGTTAAAAAATAAACCTCAATTCCAGGAGTGTAACAAAAATATTAATGAACAATTTCAAAACTTAAATTCCAAAGAAATAAATAAACCGCTGTCAAATATCGGAAACCCTATTCCAACCTTATTGGGTACTGTAGTTCCAAATCCTTTGGGAAACCTTCTTCAGTCAAATGTAAAATTAGCATTTCCGTCAAATTTGATCGATATACCATTACAAGTCAATATACCATTACCAACTACGTCTTTTCAACAGCAACCGCTACAACAAATCCCAGTGGTCACAATACCAAAATCAACATTTAGCGATTTTCTTAATAACAAAAATCATTTAAAACATAATAACTCTAATGATCAAATTGGATATAATAAAATTAATCCAATACAAAATGATAATTTTGAAAGGCAAAAATATTTAGAATCAAAAAAGTCAAAAGAGGATTGTACATTTACTACACATTTGATGAAAACACAAAATGCGCAACCTAAAACTTACGGGGAATACAGAAGACAATGTGAACTTGAAAAAAATAAGGTTTCAAAAGCTGATTCGAATAAAATTTCCAGTAATTTCGAAACTTCTTTGGATTTTAGAGAAATAAAAGATAATGGCAAAACTAATCAAATTGCCTCTGTTGCTACTGATGATCAACAAGTAGCCCAAACTAGGGACTCCAAGCAAACAATTTCGAATCCCATTTCAAAAGCTCCAAGGCAATTATCTAAAAGAAGAGATAGTCTTATTACCAAAAGTGAAACAGAAAAACATTCAAAATTGCATGTTGATGGCCAATGTAGTAAGACACTAAGCTCACATTCTGCAAATGTTGCTAATAAAAATTCCATGCTTACTTCATCAAGTGAAATTGTACCGATTTGCAAATTTAAAATACCTAAAAAAAGTAAGGATGATGAAATGAAAGACGAGCAGAAAATAGAAGTAAAGAAAACTGGTAATTTAAAAGAGGAGGAAGCAAAAAGTATTTCAGAAAAACATGAAGAAACTATTAAGACATTAGACATTTCAAACAAAAGAGATGAACTCTTTTTAGAAGATCAAAATGACATTAATTGTGCTAGTAATATTACAGAGTCAATTAAAAATACCTCAAACTTAAAAATTGATGATAAAAATAAAAGTAATGAGCATGTAAATTTAAATTCTGAAAATAATAATTTAAAAGATAATACTACTACTAAAATTTCTTCGAAGTCAAAACGAAAATTTATTCCTTTAAAGACTGGAGAAACCACTGCTTCGGAAAGTAAAATTCAGCAACGTAGGAAATCTGTGAGTACATCAATAACGCAAAGGAAAGAATTATGTGAAAGTATCGCAGGGGTATCGAATGAGCAAGCAGTTAAATTAACAATTCGAAGAAAATCAATGTCGGCGACGACTTCCTCTGATAATAATAACTTTGAAATAAAACCTAATAATCCTGAAATAACAAATTTTTTAGAGAAAGAAAAACAAGATAAAAATTGTGAATTCAGTGGACCTAATAAAGATGAAACTGAATCTTTACAGTCATTCGACACTACAACAGACAGTACGTCAGTTTCGTCTTATCAAGGTGGAGTTAAAACTAAAAGGTCAAAACGTTACAATAATTATTATTATGAAGTTGCACCAGATCCCATAGATAATACAAAATTGTCAGTTGAAAATATTATTGAAGGAAAACGTCGCAGTCGTTCGTTAGTTAATATGAACGAAAGTTCTTTAGCCATACCAAAGTATGTTTCAAAAAATAAGAGTAGTAATAACAATGTAGATTTTTGCAGTTCATCGGAAGATGTAAGCAGTATTGGAAAAGAAAAGAATATTACAAAAAAAAATATTAAGTCAAAAATCACTGAATCTCATGTTAATGAAACGGACCACTGCAACTCATTCGAGGCAGATTCTCTAAAATCTGCAGAAGCCGATTTAAAAAATACAAATATAAAAACAGAGAATACCGATAAAAGTGAAACCACTAAAGAAGTGTCGTCTTTAACAAAAGGAGGTGCAAATGAAAGTGCTTCAGGAACAGTTGAATCTTTGTTAAATTTTCTTGGCCCAAATTCTAACAAAGAAAGTTTATTGGAAATTTTATCAAAAGTTTGTGATGAAAAAAAATTTGAGAAAATAAAAGCCATTTTGGAAGAGGATGAAAAATCAGATAAGTCTGAAAATCTCAAAGAAGAATCATTTAAGGAAGATGAGGTAACTGATTCTAAAAAGCAAGAAGATCTGAGAACTAATATGAAGACTGAGAGAAAACTTAGACATAAAACTGAATTAGATCGTTTAAATGAGGATATAAGAGATATGTTCATTTCCCAAGGTGTGCTTTCGGCATTTGGTAAACGAAATCAACTACAATCAATTAAATCTAATGAGCCTGTAATTGCAGATAAAAAAAATATAACTAGTAAGGATAAAAATAAGAAAATTTTTAGGGCTAAAGAGTTGAAAGTTATTCTAAAAAAAATAAAAATAAATTATCTTGATCAAGAAAAAGTCGAATTCAAAACTAAATTACAGCCCAAACGCAAACGACGCTTTGCTTGGGCCAAAGGTCAAATTGCAAAAAAGAAATCAGCTTCCCCATCTGCTGTTGCAGGAAGATTGAATAAAGCAACAAAAAGAACTGGTGTCGCTACATTTAATCCTCGTGCACAAATAAATAAAAAAGTAAAATCAAAAGATTTTCCTTATTACAAACCATGTCCAAAGAGTAAAAAATCTACTTTGAACATTAATGAGACAAATAGCAAAGCAGAAATTGATTCTGAAGAATTGAAGCAGAAACGTAAAATTCTATTTTTAGAAAATAATGAAGTACCGTCGAAAAATATATACAAAGAAATGCATGCAAAATCAGAATATTGTAAAAAATGCCTTGTGTGTCATAAAATAAATATACAGAAATTAGTTTCACATCATGTCGATACACATCCAGAATATGAAGTATTTATATCACGTTTACCACCAGATACATTAAACGATTTATGCTCTGATCGACATAATTCTGCTCTATATCAATATATGATAAAATCAAGAGGCTCAATGTTTCACTATCGTTGTCCATTTTGTGATATACAACAAACAGCTACAAGGTCAGTATGGTTAGATCATTTTTCAACACACACTGGTGAATTTCATTATAAATGTTCCGGTTGTAACAAACAAAGCAATTGGAGAAAACCACTTTTACGCCACATCAAAACGATTTGCAAAACTTCTCGAATTATTACCAGAGAATCACCTTCTTCAATCTTGAAAAATATTTCGGGCTATTTGTGTAATATATGTAATTATGTTCAATTAACACAAAATAATATTATAAAACATTTAAATACTCAACATTCACCCAAAGAAAAGAAAAATTTTCGTAAAATAAATTTAATGAATATGGAAAACGTTCCAAAATTAGACAATCCGCCGTCGGAAGAAACAAAAGTTTCGGCAGATGAAAATGTTGAAGATGTAGAAGATGATACTGAAATGATAAAAGCTGAAAACTCAAATATTAGTGATAAATTGGATGTATTTATACCAAAAGAACACACTGATTTAAACGTAGATAAAAATTTATTAAATTATATGAACGAAGTTATTACATTTAGTGTGCAAACTCCTAAAATCAATGAGAGAACAAGTAAATCAATTGTAGATGAATTAAGCGAGCGTCTAAAATCTCAAAATTCTTCGGTAAAAAAAAAAGAAGTATCAGTTCGAATTGAAAAAGATATTGAAAAAACTACCAAAGAAAAAAATATGTCAATTGTCGACTTATTAAGTCAACGTTTTCAAAACATATCTGAGTCTGATGCTATGAAGAATAAAGAAGGCGATGATAAAGAAGAATCTGAAAGTGATAATGAAACACCGGTAGTGTATATTCTAGATAAAATTGATGACGATAATTTGGATGATATTGAATTAGCGGAAAGTTCTGAACAAGTTATTCTATCAATAAATAAACCAATATCAAATTCTCGCGCTGAAATACTCGATAAAATAGGTGGTTCTACAACAGCTCAATTAAATTTAAAGGAAAATGACAGAGAAATAACTGATTCAATTTATGCAACACTTAATGAAAAATTGAAAAATTCTAAATCGCCAGACAAAAAGATTACTACCAAAAATGATAGTTTAAAAAGTAATCAAAAAAAATCTGGCATAACAATCATTGATAGATTAAATAAACGTCTCAAAGAAGCTACTGGAGTTGCTCCAGTTGGAGGTAGTGGAGTTAGAAAATTAGCAGAAAACAAGAAAAATTTATCAATAAAAAAGAAAGTGCAAGAAACTGTACATACGGTAGATAATGAAGACCGCAGTGCATTGGATTCTAGTGATGATAATCTAGTCATTGATGAAGATTGTACGACCCCTGTGCCTGATATAAATGCAAATAGTGTCGAAAAAACAAACAAAAAACAAAATGAGTCTAGCACACACTTACAGCAATTATCTTCTGAGCAAAATGAAATAAATGAGATTGAAGATGATGATGATTGTTGGGAGGATATTGAGGAGGTATCACCACAATCGAATGAAAATGATGAACAAAATTTAAAAGTAACAGCGGAAAAAATCCAATCAAAAGAGAAAAATAATACAATTTTTAAAACTTTATCAAAAATTTATGTGTCGTTTGGTAAAAATAAACAAAAGCCAAAAAAGAAATCTATGGATATCAGGAATTGTGGTTCTTCAACTCCTCCAGTAATAACCGACGAAAGTTGTGATAGTAATTTAGAAAATAATGGCGCCAAACAGCAACAACAACCAATACCACTATCAGATCTCATAAGTGATGCTGCAATACCTTCACCTATGTCAGCAGAGCTTACTATAGATCCACCGGTACCGTTGCCATCAGAACCTCTTTCAGACCTAAATGATATATCTTCTTTATTAGAACCAACTCCCACTTCAGAAACATTAACATCTATTGCAAATAATAATTCTAACATTAACATAATTTCAACAACAGAATTATCAAAAGTTGGTGTTGAAACTACTGTTCAAAAGCTTAATATAAATGATATAAATGAACCCATTTATGTTTTACCGGACAATGTTACATTTGCAGATGCTTTGGTTTTAGCTGCTGAAATAGAAAATACTAAAAATATTAATAAAAAAAATGAAACCGAAAATGATATTACAAAACCAAATAAAATATCAAAAGCACCTGTTACATGTCGGATAAATAATTTAGGTTTCAGTGAATCTGAAGGAAAAGTTAAATATTTTTGCCTTATAAAACCATGTTCATTCTTATTTTCTGATCAGGAAATTGGACTACAAAATCATTATAGTTCTGACCATAAAACTATATGTTGGGATGGTTATTGTTACGCTTGCGAAGCTAATATCTGTTCTGAAGATGAACTACCACTGAATCGTGAATTAAAACATATGATTGAAGTTCATATTAAGAATTTATTAAAATCACATAATTTATACATTGAACATAATCAAAATAGCGACAGCAGTAAATCTTTTGAGGAAGCATTGATGACTAATCGACCCAAAATTACGATTCGACGTTTGAGCGGGGATCTTTTATCAAAAAACAAGCCACAAGATCCTGTAATAGAATATAGTAAATTACAATCAAGCGTTCAAACTATACCAATTTCATTATTAAGTAGTATTAACTCCCCTTTACTAAATAGTAATCCCAATGTGCCAACCGTTATAGATCCAAAATCAAATTTAACTATTTCAAAACAAAATGTTACAATCAAAGATCTTTTAGAAACTCCTTCAATTCCGCCGCCAATTGCTCCCCAGCTTTTGCCAGAAGATTCATCGACTTCAAAAGCTGCAACAGTTCCTATTCAAACAGCCCCACAGCGACTTCAAATAAAAACTTACAAAAGAACACAACCTGAAAAGCCTTCGACTTGTATTTTACCTAATAAACAAAATTTAACAATATCACCGATACAAAATAATTTAAATAGTGGCTCAGGTTTAAAAATTTCTTCTGTCAGTCAAGGCATTACAATATCAGATAAAGAAATTACCTCACCAATTATTGTGCCACCAGCACAAAGTGTACACAACAGTGCAGAACCAATAAAAATTATTTCAGTATCTGGCGGAGTTGCAAATTTCCCAGTGGAACCGCCGAAAATATCAAAAATATCATCAAATGTTACAATATTACCAATAACAAGAAATAATGACAAAAGCCAATCGAGTCCTACACTAGTAAACCAACAACCTCAACAATTGATTACATCCGACAAATCATTAGTCATTACAAAAATGGCTTCCAAAGTTCCTATACAAACACAGGGCTTATCAAAAACTAATTCAGGATTTCTGAGAATTGAAAATGTTTGCAGTTTAAATACGCAAAAACCCGTTGTGGAATCTGTATCTACTCAACAAAGTGACGCAAATGTAATAAAATCAACAATCAATATTGACCAAAATTTGTCCTCTGTTACTACATTAAATCAATCTCTATCAATTGCATCAACAGAAGTGGAAAAGTCTCAATCATCAATTGAAGAACACAAATCAAATGTTCCAAATGAAAGTATAAATTCTGACACAAATATTTCTCAAACGCTAACATCGAATACTTCATCAGAGGCATTAGAATCTACAATGAAATTAATTAAGCCATGGATATTTCCAACAGTTTCTAAACCTTTTTCCGTTGCACAATTCCAACTACGGGCAATTTCGTTATATGCTCTTTTCAAATGTATGAACCAAGAATGTTTTTTTACAACAAATTGTGTGCAAAATATTTTAGAACATTTTCAATTTCATGAGCAGCAAAGTAGTTTTGGTTGGTTACGTTGCAGTTACTGTAAATTTGTGGCTTGTAATTCAGCTAATTATGTAGAACATATTCATTCTGTGCACAATAATGATATATTTCAATGTCCATATTGTTTTTACAGATCATGTAATGATTTTAATACGTTAAAACACATTGAAGAATATCATCAAGAACAAAAGCCATTAATTTTTGTCTGCCATGGAGAACGGAAACGTTTGGCTTCTGAAATGAAGCATTTAGCAATTTATCGTAATAGACATATCAAAGCAATTCCTTGTTTCGATTGTAACAAAAAAATTTTCATACTTCGAAATTATTTAAAACACATTCTTGAACATAACGTTAATAGTGAGTGCTATACATGTGGAATATGTAAAGCTGGTGGCTTACTAAAAAAATGTGCCGATACGCATTTAAGTTTAGTTCATAGAATATCTGTATACCAATGTATCTATTGCGATATGTCATCAAATTTAAGAAGTGCAATGGTAGTTCACATGGCTAAAGAACATCCATCGCATTTATTATATAGTTGTGTTAGGGTATCGCCTAATAAGAGCGCAGTAAGTATAATTTCTATATGAACATAGATATATTCAAACAACTTCTAAACTACTCTTTTTTTATTAAAGGTATTTAACACTGAGACTATAGAAAATTCTACTGTTTTGGCAAATTTAAGTGAAAATGTCAATGTCAAATATTTACAGCCATGTAATTTTTCATTAGAGAATCTTAATTTCATGAATCCCGCGTTAGACTCACAAGCAGTCGAACAAAACAAAAACATAAAAATATCTGTAAATTTTGCAAACATTAACTCTCCTATCCTGCCGGCACCTATTAAATCAGCAACTGACAGTATAAGGGCTAGTACACCACCTTCAGTAGCGACTACGATGAGTAACGATAATGCTGTTATTAATGTACAATCGTCTCTTAAAATATCGTCAGTTACATCACTAGCATCTACATCTCAAACTTCAGTGACAAGATCTCCAGAAATATCTGGAACACAGATTGGGGAATCTGTGTTAGTAAAATCCGCTCCAATATGTTCAGCTCAAATACAAAATGCTTTTGCATCAATTCCCGTAGAAAATCCCGGTACTCAAATAAACCAGCAAGAAAATTTGCAAACATTGTCAAGTACTCCTAAAGTATTGAAAAATCCTGTTATGTTAAATAAATCTCATAATGCTCCACAGAAAGTTGAAGTGGCTACAAGAAAATCAAATTCAAGTATATCAAACACCACTATTGATGAAACCATAACAATTGACGATTCTGACCAAGAAGAGCAAACAGAAAATGAAAAATCGCCGAATGCAGACTCTCGAAATTTGTCGGATAACTATGTCAGCAACAGTAATATAACAACATCAAAAAATATCAAGGATATATTAAAAAACTGCACAGAGTTAACAAAATCCGTTGCATTAGCTCAAGAAAAACAAGAAATTAAAACTATTACAAGGGGCACAATTATGATTAATGAGGTGTCATTGAATCTGAAATCCTCGCAAGAAAGTTCAACAAATAATGAAAAAACAGTGGATGATAGCCTCTTAAATAAACAGATTATGGAAGCTGCTCAAGAATATGTTTTAGATACCGGTTATGAAGGTTCAGAACTGTACCGATGTTCTTTACCAGAATGCACAAATGTAAAATTAAGTTGTGAAACTTTATCATCACATTATTCTCGAGTTCATCAGCGCTTGAGACAATTTAAATGTCCCCATTGTACATGCCAATATAGTAACATTCGCAGTTTAAAGGTTCATTTAGCAACCCATAAACGTCACCGATATTTTTGTTTTCTATGCAATCATACGACATCAATTCAACAGCACCTAACCAAACATATAACTGAATTGCATGGCAAAACCGGTTTAGTGTCTTTTCCATTAACAAATCAATTTGAATTGGATACAAAAGAAAAATCTAGTGATTCATTATTTTTTGTCCTGGCTCCGACAGCTACAAAACGACAAGAAATATTGCAGTTCGGTGAACGACTTGTAAGAATTTGTGAAAGAAGAAGATCTTTGACAAAAAAAACATTTAGTCCAAACGAAATTGATCAACTACCGCTTCAAGCTATCTTTAATTCTGAAGCTTTTTGTTCAATATGTAGTTATCGAACAAAAGTAAGGACCAATATGTATAGACATTTATTATTTCATAAAAGTGAAGTTAAGGTTGCTAGTATTGACCCCGTAAATCCCGTTCCATGTTTAGTTTCAAATGAGAAAAATTTTGACAAAATGATTAATATGGCTTTAAGCTCCAATTTGAAAAAAGATAATCAAGAAAAATTGCAACCCAGTAATTCTAGCGGAATGACCTCTTCTGGTAAGTTTCAATATATATTTGATATATTCAAATAATAATTATAAAATTAAATCCCTCTATTTATAAAATTCAATTTATTTTATTTATTGTGTATTACTCTAAATTCATTAGATGGTAATTTATCTTCAACTACCGAAGAAATTAAAGAGGCTCTGAAGAAAGGCGATCTCAAAATACCAGAATTTATTCCATTAATGCGTAAATTTATTTGTGGTGTACCAAATTGTAACTACTTAACTATTACTGATTATATGTTAAAATGTCATTTACAAACTTTACATTCAGAGGAAAAACAGTATAAATGTCCACATTGTAAGCTAGAGCTTTTACAAAAGAAAAACTTCTGCGCAGACAAAATACTGCAACATTTAAAATTTCATGATTCTAAAATTTATTTATGCGGTGATTGCTATTACATGCACTTTTTGAAACATGTAGTTGAGAGACATATTAATGATCGTCATGCGACTGCAGCTCAAGTAGACGTTATTCAATATGAAAGAAAGGACACTAATACGATTATAACAAAATATCCATGTGGGCGTTTGATTGGGCAGTCAAATACTAAAACAATCACTAGTACTGATGGTACAAACAGCAGCGATCGAAATACAGACACCGATGTCATTGTACTTTCAGAAAGTACTGCTGATACTGCCACATTCAACAAACAACTAGGTGATGAAGAGGCCAAATGGAGTTGCACAACATGTAAATTTAAAACAGTCGATGAACCTTCAATGCTTAATCATATCAACACAGCACATAATATAAGATTTCGATATGGATGTTTTGATTGTAAATTTGGTGCTTGCCAAGTTAATTTGGTAAAAGAACATATAAGCGATAAACATCATAATTTTCAGCAGCGGCAAGTAAAGTCAAATTATTATCGTTTAGATGAAAGTGATTATGATGTTGTTCAAGAAAATCGTCCTTTATGGACAAGGAGTGATCCATATCGCATTAAACATATACGTGGAATTTTAATGGAAGAAGAAGACGTTGGACGTAAGAACACTAAAAGTGAAAATAAGAAGTCAAACAAGCTTAAAAAGTCATTATCTAACAACAGCAATGTTGCAGAGGATAGTAGTAACAGCTCTATTGGCGCAAGTAAAAGAAAATCTTTAGAAAGAAAAGCATCTCAAAATTCTATAAGAGAAACGGATAAAGTGAATGATCCAACAAGTGTTTTAATTTTGAATGAGAACTCGTCTTCCAGTCAAGATTCAAATATAAAGGCAATCCATAAAATATCAAAAGTAAAACAATCTTCAGCTCACAGTTCAAAAAAGTCACAAAGTATGTCAGCTAGATCTTCAATATCTTCTTCAAGAGATTCTTTGGAAGAAAATCTTTCGGTTGTTGTACCTAATGAAATTTCCGACTCGAAAGCGGTTAGTAGTACATCTCCAGAAAGAAGTGTTGAAATCTATGAATGTTATTATTGTCCAATGAAAAATATTTCTTTTAAAGTAATTTATACTCATTGGTTATTACACCATTGCAAAAAAATGAATGAAAAATCGGATAAAGTAGGTGATAACAGCGAAAAATCTGAAAAAAATCTTCCTTTGTTAGCCAGACCTTTCGCTTTTAAAGTTGTTGGTTACATAGGTGGAGATTCAGTTGAAGTTTCAACTTATGATGTAACAAAAAATCAATTGTCCCGTTTATTAAAAATGGGGCAACGTGTAACACGATTTCAATGTAATAAATGTTGGCGTTTATTTGCCAATTCTATAAGCGTAGCTGAACATCAAAATCATGAGCATGCGAATACATCAGCGCTAAATACTCATCGATGTTTAACATTCAAAAACCGAAATTTTTTTATATGTAGTTCGTGTGGTTACGCATCATCTTTAGAGTGCAAAACTGCAGCTCATTTATTAAATCATTATGATGGGTTAAAAAAATGTAAAACGTGTAATAAAGAATTCGATAAGTTTTTAGAATTTATTCGACATTTACCAAAACACAAAACAACATTTAAAGAATTTTTAGAAAATGATAAAAATATCAAAGAGTTTTGGAGTAAAATAATTATTTTGTTCCCAAATGGTTTATGTATGATGCGCTGTAATGTACCTAAAGACTCCAAAGTTATTTTAGATTGTTTAGTAAATATTGTTAATAATGAAGTTGAAGCTGCACTTATACAAACCGCACCACAAAACGTAATACCTAAACCAAATAGCAATGACAATTTATCAGAAATGTCTACAGAAAAATTAAATGTAAATACTAGTGAATGCTCAAGAGCTAAAATATCCGACAGAAAACCTAATGATGAGAAAAATATTAAGGCTGATAATACATTAACAAATCTAAATAATAATTTAGAAATGATAAATAAAATTTCTTTAGATTCTGATGACACAAATAATGACGTACAAAATGATAGAATAGAAGATTCAGTACCATCATCGTCAAATTTTTCTTCATTAGACGAAAATGTATTAACGACATCAAAACCAAAAATAATAAAAAAATCTAAAAGAAAATATGAAAAAGATACTGATTGGACCCCAAAACCATTAAAAAAACGTAAAGTTTTGAGTTCTAATGATGATCAATTTGATTCATCAACTGATGATAATCAGAATGCAGATGATGATGATGATGATAATATACCATTATTAACAGTAATAAGGAATACACCACCAATTAAGAAATTAGAAAAGAGAATAAAACCATTTATTGGCCCAAAATTTACACAAAAAAAATATCATAATGCTTATACACCATATAGCTATTATGGTTGTAAACCAATTGCTGAAGATTTAAATAATATAACAGTTAAAGTAAAATTTGGTTATTCAGATGGATATGATTCTGATAATGAAGCCGTTTTATTAACTTGTCAACAATATTCTGAAATAATACCAATCGATTGTCAAGTTATTGTTGAAAAATTAAATCCAGAAATATTAAAATTAAATACAATTAATTTATTTAAACGTAAAATTCAAAATAAATTTAATAGCTATGCAATAGATTTTCCTAATGCAATTGAAGATTCCTCTGATTCAAATTCTAGTTCAGTAAAGAAAAGAAAATTATAAGACTAGATAAGTAAGCACTTATCTTAAGTAGTTTATCTTAGTATTTTCATTTAAGTTCTTTTATTAAATATCATTTTTTAATATGAATTCCCTAATTCTATAAATAGTTCCAAGAATTATGAATACAAGCATGCTCTGTTAAAATGAATTCAATAACAAAATGGAAACAAAACTAAGGGTAGTGCTCATGTTTTTTTTTTTTTAAATACTACAATAAAAATATTATAATATTTATTTAAGCTAAATGTAATATGTTATTCCAGAAAAACAAATTATGAAAATTTTAATTATTGTTTCTAATAGTTTTAGAATGTAAAAAAAAGTATTTTAAGGAATATTACTGTTTTTTTTTTAATTAATGAGAATGAATATAAGATAAAAAATTTAAAAGGTAAATTAAAAATAATTAAATTGTTTTATTTTTTTTTATAAATTATCATTTGTATAAGATTGTTGACATTTCAACAATACTATTTTATTCGGTTTTCGTTATTATACATATAAATATATTCAGAATTATGCTGAATAAGAATTATTAAAGCTTGGAGTTTTTTTACGGTAATAAAATTCTATTACACTTTCAATTAATTGGTGAATTCTGTTTCAAACCTATAACTTCATTTTATCTGGCCAATATAGTTCAAAATTGATAATTCAAGTTTTTAATTCTAAATTCAATGACTCTCCAAGTTTTACACTCTTAAAACAACCCTTAGTAAAACTTAAACTTACAGAATCTTGTTGTAAAATACGGATAAAAATACCTATACATTTGTCCGAAAATTGAAGCTATTCTAGCTTTGTAACTACGAAATTGCATAAAGTGGCGCGTTACAAGGTGGCTGCTGCTTCCGACAAAAAAAAGAGGTAATAATAGTATCACGTTTGTTACTTCAAAGTGTTAATATCCAAGTTTGTTGTATCAAAGTTCTAATACGTTAAGGTCTAAGTTTTCAAACAAAAAAGTTAAAATTAAGTAAAGTAAAAAAATGTATAAAGTTGGTGGAACAAAAATTAAGTGTATATTACATATAAAAAAGTTTAGTGATAATATTGAAGATAAAATATTCTTAAATATTTAAATATGTACTAGGGTCTTCATTCTGTATATTAGCATCTCTTTTATTTACAGCTTGAACCAAAATTATGAAACTACGAAACCGAAATGATTCAAAGCCAAGTTCTATATACATTTCATCGAAGAACTTTCGTATACGCATATATATATAAAAGTTTGTATGTATAAATATTAACTATATTAAGAGAAACCAAAATTTAAAGTTCAATTAAAAAACAACTTCATTCGAGGCATTATTGTATGCATTCAAATTTGTTTTGTTGATGATGCGGAACATAAAAATTTTTCGCAGTCAACTAGAAAATAAGCTTTTACATTTTTCTGTTTTTAACTGCTACTGAACTGTAACTATCCGACCCATGGTGCAGTGATTTTAGCACCGGTCTTTAAACTGAAGGGCCTCAGATCCAAACATGGATCAGGTTATATAAACTTTATATTTAATATAAAGTTTAATTATACAATATAAAATAAAATGTTAATATAAAAGTAATTACCCATAAATCCATAATTTTCGATATTGAATAGAAACTAAAAATAGACATTGAAAATCAATAACCTTCAATATTTAACATAAACTAAACTAAACAAGTAAAAACGTTTCAGTCGGTATAAACCGATTGAATTATACCCTGCATCTTTCGTTGTTGTATAGCAATTACTCAAACCTGTGAAACCATTCTATAGAAATTTCACGGATATGTCTGATTTATAACTGGACACACAACTGCCAAGTTTCATGAATCTGACTTTATTATTTTTCCAAATATTTAAAATTAGCTTTTGGAGTTGTATGGCAAGTACCCGAACCTGTCAAGCAATTCCATCAAAACTTCAGAAATATGTCTGACCTATAATTGGACACACGACTGCCAAAGCTCATAAATCTGACTTTATTATTTTTCCAAATATTTAAAATAAGCTTTTAGACTTGTATGGGAGCTACTCGAACCTGTCAAGCAATTCCACCAAAACTTCAGAAATATATCTGACCTATAACTCGACATACAACTGTCAAGTTTCATGTATCTGACTATATTATTTTTCCAAATATTTAAAATAAGCTTCTGGAGTTGTATGGCAGGTACCCGAACCTGTCAGGCAATTCCTCTAAAACTTCAGAAATATATTTGACCTATAATTGGACACATGACTGCCAAGTTTCATGAATCTGACTTTATTATTTTTCCGAATATAAAAAATTTGGTGTTGGAGTTGTATGGCAGCCACCTGAACCGGTGCAGCTTTCCCATTATAATTTTTAGAGCATGTGTAGAATATAATTGGACAAATGTATACAAAATTTTATATTCATAGCTTTATTAGTTTTTGAAATATTTGAAATAAACTCTTTGAGTTGTATGGCAGCTACCCGAAGCCGATGTCCGAATTAGTCCAATAACAATAGGGCTCGTCCTTGGCGCAAAAGAAAAAACTTGTGAAAGTTTGGTGTCGATTGCATTATTCGTTTTTGAGTTATCGTGCGATCGGACGGACGGACGGACGGACGGACGGACGGACAGACGGACATGTCTAAATCGACGCAGAATTTTACGCTGAGCAAGAATATATATATATGTCCATACCGCAGATGACTCCTTCAAGTAGTTACAAACTCCATACCAAAGTTAATATACCCTTCACGAAGTGCAGGGTATAAAAATGCGGCATACAGATCACCGCCTAGCTAATTCAATGGCCTGTGAAAATTGAGACTTGACTCTAAAGTCAAGTGAAAGCGGAGCATTGGTAGTGTCAGGAAAAAAAACTTATTCAAAATTTTTCTTTTTTATAAAAGAAACAATTCGTAATATAATAAATAAGATCGGCTATCTTAGGAACTTGCCAGAGTCATCAATATTTCACTTCACTTCCTTTGAATTTTAAAAAAGTTAGCTGGATTTTAGCTTACTTAGCTAAAAAAGTATAAATTCGACTCTAGTAGAATTTCGCTTTGTATCATCCGAAGTCCCTGGAAAGTTCGCCAGTTAGTTTCGGTAACAACTAGATCTTAAATTTCAAGAAATTGCATCAATCCGTTCCGTACATATGGTAAAAAATTTCGGGTAATCGACATCCTGTTCGGCTTCTGAGCCCTGATCTTTCTAAAAACAAATATGGATTCATTGCTTTAACATCCCGATATTAAATATCAAATTTCAAGGAAATTGGTTAATTATTTCTCTATGACAAAAATGTAAAACCTGCCCGGAAAAAAGACCAGTTTCAGGGGTCTGACATATACCAAAAATTGATCTGTTCATAGCCAAATAAACTCACCGACACACCGACAGACCAACATCGTTCTAAAAGGAGTTCATTGACTCTCTACTATGGAGAAATGCGTTCCCACCCAAAACTTGACTCGAAATTTAGTGCCATCACATAACCTACCTTATTGTATACAATGTAGTCGCTAATGAAGTGTCAAAAATAGTTACATAGTAATTTTATATGGAAAAAGAGAAAATATAAAGTTGACCGCGTCAATTCTGTGATACTCGTACGAATTTGTTATCCTATGTTCGAGTAAATATTCCATAGCTGACTATTGGACAGACTATGACTTTAAATTGCCGTAATACCATATTAATTTATGCAAAATTTCAGTACTCTGTTTTTAATATTTTCTAATATATGGCCAAAAAAGTTGATCTAAGATACTATTGAAGTTGTATAGCAGCTACCACAAGTAGTCAAGTAATTTCAACGATTATTGTCACACATACCAGCCCCAATAATACACTTATTTTCACTAACTTTCTATAATCTATATCATAACTGCAATAATTTCTGAGATAATTTCAAATAACTTTTGGAGTTGTATGGCAGCTATCACAAATGCACATGAGATCTCAACAACTTTTAATAAATATAACTACCATTTTACCATATTTCATTTTTCAAAATTTCAGTACTGTAGGTTGAACAGTTTTTAAGATACAATCAAATAACGTTTCAAGTTGTATATCAGTTACCAATAGGAGCCAAGCAATTTCAATAACTTTTATCATATACATTGGCCCTACTTATATATTCACTTGTGCGACATTTCAATACCACAAACTACAAAGCCAAATCGACTCAGAATTGTACACTGATTAAAAATATATACTTGAGTCTATAATCTCAGACCATTATTTTTTACCGTTACAAATGGTAAAGCAAATTTAATATACCCTTCGAACAGACGTTCGTACTGGTATGAAACAGCTGTATATTATGGAATGTTATGTATATAATACGAAAGTATATTATGGTACTCGTATTTATGTTGGAGGAAATTAATAAGAAATAAAAAAGAATCTTTACGAAACTATGCTCTTCTATTTTGATCGTATCACAATTTCAATTTTTAATCGTCGTAAGAAAATTTAAGATAAAATACTACATAAAATTTGTTTTTTCTAGTTTTACTATTTATTTTACAAATTGATGTTAAATTTTTATATCACCACATTAAATACTATTTAAGAATTTAATACTTACGAGTAATATTATAATTTTGAAAGTAAACGTCTTCAATAAGTAGTTAATGATAAATCACCCATGATCTCTATATGTGATAATTTGTGCTTATTAATTGATTATAAGAAAAATAAATTAAAAATATATTTTAAAATTTTCGTATAATTATATTTATTCTAACTTGTTATAACAAATTTAAAATTTTTATTAATTTGAATTCGTTGAACCATTGTGTTAAAGCCAAACATTAATGTCAAGATCGTACAATTGCATTAAATTGTTATTAAGTACACAAATAACATTCACGGAATGAAGATGAAAAATCTACTGGTCAAATACAAACTCCAGATTGAAAGTAAATAAATTTTATTTATTTATTTATTTTTTTTTTTTGATTTGCTATTCAAATTAAATATTTATTTTATTAGACAAAGTATAACTAGTGATCTATATAATATACATTGTCATGATACATTTGAATTTTTATTTTTTAGGATTATACATAAGGTTGTTATTTTTTTTTTCTTTACTGTTGTATTGCGCTCCCTTTATATACCCTGCATTTCGTGAAGGGTATATTAACTTTGATATGGAGTTTGTAACTATTTGAAGGAATCGTCTCCGGTATGGACATATATATATATATATATTCTTGCTCAGCGTAAAATTCTGCGTCGATTTAGACATGTCCGTCCGTCCGTTCAATCGCACGATAACTCAAAAACGAATAATGCAATCGACACCAAACTTTCACAAGTTTTTTTTTTGTGCCAAGGACGAACCCTATTGTAATTGGACTAATCGTACAACAGGTTCAGGTACCAGCCATACAACTCAAAATAGTTCATCTTAAATATTTCAAAAACTAATAAAGGTATAAATATATGTGTCCAATTATATTCTACACATGCTCTAAAAATTTTAATGGGATAATGGGAAAAGCAAATTTTTTATATTCGGCACAATAATAAAGTTAGATTCATGAAACTTGGCAGTTGTGTGTCCAATTATAGGTCAGATATATTTGTGAAGTTTTAGTGGAATTGCTTGACAGGTTCGGGTACCTGCCATACAACTCCAAAAGGTAATTTATATATTTGGAAAAATTATAAAGTCAGATTCATGAAACTTGTCAGTCGGTTGTCCAATTATAGATAAGGTATATCCGTGATGTTTCTATAGAATGGTTTCACAGATTCGAGTAATTACTATACAACAACGAAAGATGCAGGGTATAATTTAATCGGTTTACACCGACTGAAACGTTTTAACTTGTTGACATATTATCGGCATTTACTTTATTACAAATTTACTTGAAGAATCATCCGTATATAAGATAATTTATAGAAGTAGTTTAGTTTCTGAAAATTTAGTTAATCTACTTTGTTCCACGTAAAAATCATCTGACTTCCTTAACGTAATTAGGTAAATCTCCTACAAACCGAGAACCTCGATAGTCTAAGCCCCAGAAAATCTATAAATTGACGCTGCCTTAACATGCGTCAAGCTAAGACGCTTATAAAAAATTTGTCGTCTATCATCTGATATCCCAATTTTTTGATAAATATTATGAACATATGATGTTATACCATCTAGTTCCTTAATCTGTCCCCAGTTTATAGTATTAAAAATTTGCCCCATTTAAATGTATGTACATAAAAAACAAATTTAAAGTCAGCAAATTATTCAAAAATAAAAACATGTGAAGCGACAAATTTGGTATTCTACTAGACGCGCGTCTCGCTATTTGTCACAAAAAAGCGTCCATAATGTTATTCTGTTAAAAATTTTAATCGAGTTAATGGAAAATTCATTTTCTTAATTTTCTTCATCTGTCGCAACACATTTCCCGCCTAAAAGAATACCAAAAAAAAGTACGGCGTAACAAAAAAAAAATGTGACAGTCGCAAATGTAACCCGTCTAGTAGAATAAGGCTGTATCAGCCTTAGCAAAAGCAAAAATACAAAAAGATTCAATGCAATGTGTATTGCACATCTAGAAAAATTTACTGTTTCGTGTGCTTTATTTTCTGATCCTACTTCTTTAAGGAGGAGCAAAACGAATTTTATGTTATTGTCAGGGGAGAGTGTTAACGGCATCATAATCATGTTGTTTAAAAATTATATATGCTACAACGTGCACATAATTATGTATTAACTTTAAAAATTGTGGGGAACAATATCTTTCTATTACGTCCAAAGAGAGTGTTTTTAATAGACATGACTGGAATATCGTAGTGTTTTGCTTATATTTCATATAGTAAACAGAACAATGTTTGAACCCAAAACAATTTTGTTCAAGAACCGCTACACTATTTGTCAGATTGAACCATTGAACTGAACCATTGTTCAAATCTTCCCCCCAACTAATTGAGGTCTAAAATTAAATATAAAAATTATATTTTAAAAAAAATTTAATTTTTTTTTTGACAATTATTTGACATTTTATTGTTTTATTAATATATTAATATTAGTACATACATAATATACAAAGTACAAAACATATAATTAAAGTTTAAAATAAAATTTTTCATGTAAAATCTAATACATAATTTTGACATGGATATAGAAAATTAAGTTTTAGTCCCAATCATGAATTTTTACTGAAAACATTAAAGTAGAAGATTTTCAAAGTCTCTTGTTTTTCAAAATCGTCTTCTATCATTAAAACTTTTAATAAAAATTTAAATTTTTTATGTAATTATGCACATTACTTTCCGTATTATGATCTTTTTTCATAAATTAATAAAATTAGATTCACAATGAATAAATATTCACAATCGAAACTTTTATATATTATGTACATATATAGTTGCAAATATAAAAATGTTAAGGGCTTTCACGTAGCTGTGCAACTTGCATTCTAGTAAAATAAAATCAAAAAATACTTTTAATAAAAAATTACAGGCGACTGCAATGTCGAATGATTTATATTGAACGAATATAATTGTTTAGTGTTTTTTTTCCAGAAATGTTTATTGGTATTTCTCAAAAAAAAAAAAAAAAAGAATGTCAAACGAAATGTCAAAATATATCAAAATAAATGCACGAGCAAATATTTAATGCACCTTATTGGATTTAGTTCCAGTATATTTTATTCATGTATGTAAATTCGGTGCATATTGCTTATGCGTGAAACAACAACAATGTAATGTGTCAAAAAATTTGCACTGATATTTGCAGACCCTTTTTTATGTCAATTTTATTTTTGTAAAATTAAAATTAAATACTAAGTTTATTGAACATATAAAATTTAAGGTATTTTTGAATTTAATAGTAAGTATAATCTCAAATTAAAATTAAAAACTTACAATTTAAACTTATTTATAAATATATAATTACATACATATACAGGGTTTTTAATATAAGATAGCAAATAATTTCAGGAATTATTCTTTGATCGATTTCCAGCAAAAAACTGTATGAGCGGGGGCGAGAGTGTAGATATACTCATTTTCGAGCTGCAGCGTGTTAAAAAAAATTAAGGCACCAGATTCTTCCTGAATATAAATAAGCGCTTATAACTTCGGAGCCGTACTGCATAGAATAACCATGAGTGGCTTGTTTTACAGGCGATTGATTGCTCTTTATTTTCGGTGTTACAATTAACATGATTTGATTTAAGTTTTTATGTAGGAAAAAACTGGTATCTTTTTCTCAATAGGCTGTAGCTCGAAAACGAGTATATCTGCATCTTCACTGCCAATACAATTTTTTGCTGAAAATTGATAAAGGAATCATTCCTGAAATAATTTGCAATCTTATGCGAATCACCCTGTATAAGTGCTATATTATGTTTAGGTAATTTTTATATTTGTTTATTAAGTAAACAATTGTACATGATTTTGAATAGTATATATAATTATTAAGTACTTTATTTAGATCTCAAGTTACTAATTAGCACTCATACTAATCAAATTAAAATTTTTACATTATTTACGCTTATATATATATATATATTGATTTATTATAATGTATGTATATATAATTCATGTTATGGAATGAAAGATCACTTTGTTACAGCAAAAAGTTTTCTAAATAGTAAATATTCTAAAAAGAAAATTTTCATTAAAAGTTTTATAAAAATATTATATATGTATGTATAAATATATACATATATATAAAATATAATATATTTGTACATATTTATATATTTATATATAATAAATTTTTACATAAATTCTTCACTATTATTTGTTCTACTATAAAATGCTCTACTAAATTTAGCTGGATCATTTGGATTTGATATTAGACCAAAGCAACCACGTTTATATATAATAAATAATATAAATGCTAATGGTATTACAATTATAATACCAATTAGTATACCAGTTATAGCACCATAATTACTTCCATTTGTATCATCTTCATCATCATTACAATTTATTTTAAAACCATTTTTAATATTGAAATTTTTTATTGGTACACCATAAAATTCTTCTGGTTGATGACAATTAACATTTGTTAATAAATTTGGTGTTCTCTTTCTTAATTGAAATACTAATGTATTTAATAGGAAATCATTTTTACATGTGCATATCCATGAATTATTTCTTAAATCAATTTCCTCAATATTATGCCAATTTTCAACAGCTTTTATTATAGATGTAGTAAATGAAAAGAAATATATATAAAAAAAAATTTATTAATTTAAATTGTAAGAGTATAATATTTTATTGCATACTAACCTAATAATGTTCTCGGTAATATTTCAATGTTATTATTGTTCAATGACAACTGGAAGAAAAAAAGAAAACAATAATTTATCAATTATTAATGGTAAAAATTAAAATTTTAAGAACTAGCAATCACTTTCAGTTATGTATAATCCTATTGAATAGTGTACCTGTCGCGATCTAATTATTTTTTTATTAGGAACATTTCGGCCCTTAAAATATACACTATTACTCTGATATAGTTCTTTCGCTTCAAGTAATACTATCATGTCTTTGAGTGATATTCTACTGCACATTGACGTGATATTTGACGTGCTATAATTGTTTTGAAAATTCAATTCTAACTTAGCAATAAATGTTTAGTATGTTTGGGAATAAAGTACTGCACATGCTGCCGAATAATTGTGTTCGGGTAATACGATACTATTTATTAAATTTGTTTTATAATTACAATTACAAGTTGAGATTTTTACGATATACTTACGTGCAACAATAAAATTTTGATTTTATTGTTGCGAAAACTATTTTGTACTTAAAATAAAATAATATTGGATTTGGAGGATTTATAAAGGGAAACTATAAAGGAGTAGTTTCCTTTAAATATTGTTATTATTTTAATAAAAAATTTAAATTAAAATTTCAGTGAACTAGAAAATGAAAAGTTCTGGGAAATTTAAAAAATATATGACAATTTTAGAACTTTTACAACTAAAAAAAAATGTTTTTTTTTAGTGCTAATGTCAAATTTGTAGTTTTTGTAGTTTTTGCATTATTTCTGTGGTCTATTAAGCATATTGTAAAATATCAAAAATTTTGACTTTATGGCAAGCGTTAAAATCATCGCTTATGCTAATTTTATACGATTTTTCATACGACATGATAGACAATTTTTTTATTGCCTCAAGATTTGCAATCGATATAGATCGTCAAGCTGCCTATTTCTTTTAGTTTAAATTTATTAACAAAATGGAAAAATTAGCAAAATTAGTACAGTTATAAAAATTATTTAATTAAGTTTGTATTAAAAATTTTGCTGTATTAATTGTGAGTTTCATAAAATTGTATTTTAAATTAATTTGCTGTTTAACAGTGGTATTACAGATAAACACTTAAAAAGTCCGTTTGAATGGCGCAGAAATCGTATCGTAATACCGTCAGAGGATGTTTGTAATTTTTTCTCCCTTTAAATGCATAACAATTGAATTTCATTGTTACACCGGGCATTTAGTGAAATCATCTTTAATTTCTTAATTTTTTGTTTTAATTTTAAAACCCAGCAAATATATGATAAACAAATAAATTTCTTAGTAGGAATATTTATAAAGTTTACAAGGTCTTTTCTTTTACTATAATTATTATAAATTATTATCATGCATGTTTGTACACAAATAAATTACATTATTATTTAAAAGGTAAATAAATTCGGTTTCTAAAGTAGCATATTTTTTGCAAAAAACTATAAAAATTCTTTAAAGTAATAAAAAAAAAATTCTTGTATTTACATTATTTTTTTATTAAAACACAATATCGTTTTATTGCATAGTTTAAGGAGGCAAAATGAAAAAAAATTGCATTACTATAATTACGAAATTCTGATTAGAAGGCATTAACCGTTACATTTTTGTTTTTATAGAAACTATAAGAACAAATTTATAGTCTTAAAGTTTAGTTCTCGAAAATTGATATTTCGCTGACTTTAAGAAGCATTAATCTTATTTGGGAGAGAAGGAAAATAGAAACAAAAATATATTTATATATTAAAATTTTTTTTGAAATATAGCAATCAGTTTTAGGGGCAATCATTAATAAATTGGATGAGCGGTAAGTAAAAATTTTCTTTCAATCTTAGTCTTTTTTACAATAAATTTGAATAGGGGTTAAGTTTAAGTATCGAATTTCTATAAGTGACAGTGACATTTATCGGGAATAGTTCGATATCATTATTGTAAACACAAACCAATTTATATATATGATTCGTGTCTATACAATAAATTTTGGAATTTTTACGATAAACATTACTACCAATTATTTTGAGTACCATTATTTTGAGCAAAAAATATGGGGCGGTTTTTATAAATATATAGTTGTCTTAACAACACTTTTAAAAATTCATTTTGTTTTTTACATTTTTTTTTTTTTGTTTAAAAACATTTCTATTTCTTTTTCTTATAACAGCAAATTTAAAGAGGGTATTGTTGTATTTGTTATACAGCTTTTTGAGAGAAGATAATTATAACCTTAATTTACATAGAGGAGTAGAATGAGAAATTTTACGATATAGCGATTAATATTGTCATGAATGAAAACAAAAACCCTGAAAGGGTTAAAGGATTTAGGTATTTTGTAAACATTTTTTAAGACGATAAACATATAGAGGAGTCGACTCGACGGCATATAGATGAGTCGACAAACATAGTGAAATTAATTTAGCACATTTTTTGTTTTTTTGAAAATGTTCTAAGAAATAATTTCTATATAACTATATTGTTATATTAATAAAATATTTTAAATTGAATAGAATTTTTTTTTCACTTAAGTATATAAAATGAATAACAGCATGATATTAATTATTTTTAATATTTTTCAAAGTTTATTTGTTTGTGATTATTATTGTTATACTGTTATTCATAGCATATACTTAAACATAATTGGCGAATAAGTATCTATACATTATATAGAATTAATATATAAATTTTTTATATTAAGTCTTAGTTCTATATACAAGATAGTATAGAACTGGGGTTAAAGTTAAAGAAGGGTGATTCCTTGTGTTTTGTTTTTTTTTTGTTTTTAGAAAAAAAAGTTGTTAGTGTATGTGGAGAAGCGATAGGGATTCGACATTCAACAAATAATCAAAATAATCAAAAAAAAACTTACATTTTTTAATGGTGGATAACCTAATTCTGTTGAATTAAATTTGAAATGAGCCAGAGCATTTGGATGAATTGTTTTCAATTTTGAATTATTTGTAATAAATAATTCTGTTAAACCTGAAATATTTATAAATATTTTAATTTTATATTTATTACAAAAGTAATATGTAATTCTTAAATACAAATATTATTTTCATTATAACTAAATTGAATTCACTTAATTTGTCCGATTTGTGAAAAGATCAATGTTACATTTTATAAGGGTAATATGGTATTCTTCTTCGATTTTCAACTATAATTTGAATATTCCTAAAATTATTAATAGTATGTAATTTAATTTAATAATTTCATTTCTTTTAATGTTATAATAATATTTATATGATGCGAAAGAACACTTTCGCTCTAGTTGAACATTTGACGATGAGTGTTCCTATAGCAATTTTAAAAGGTAAAATACGTATAAAACAAATAAGGGCTAAGTATAAAATTGAAACTTATAATTGTTATAATTGAAATAAATAAATTCAAACATAAATTGTAATGAATTCAGTTTTGTTTTTTTTTGAACGAAGCAATGAACGAGTTTATGTGATATCGAGTTCGTGTGCACGCGCTTTTGTGATTCAAAAGAATTCGGCTTAAATATATGTACACAATATAAAGTGAAGTACAATATGCAGTAAAGTGAATCACAATTTTATAAGGCTATTTTGAAAAAAAAAATTAATATTTGTATTTTAAAATATAATATGTATATAATACTCACTTTGTAATCCACTTAATGATTCAGATCCAATCGATAATAGATTCTGGCAATTTGAAATGTGTAATTCTTTAAGATTTGGTAAAATTGGGAATTTACTGTGAAATAAAAAAATATTATATAAGTGTTAATGAAATTTAGGAAAAAAAAATTGAAAAATTTTAATTTATATAAAAATGTATATGTATGTATGATTTATATAAAAATATAAATTCAAAATAGTAATTTGATTGGATTTGAGTCCCTCTGCTACAAATAATTTTCGAAATATAAAAAATTTTGTTAATTTTTTCTTTTTGAACATCTTTTAGACTTTTCTTCAGCTATTAAGACAAAATTTTCTATGTATGTGTGTTTGAAGAAAGAAGAAGTCTCGGATTTAAAATTAAATAGAAATTTATTTATTAGATATATCAGCTTTCTAGACCCCCTTCCTACCCCCCCTCCCCCATAGTTGGAATTAGAATTTTTATAAATAAAAAGTGCTTACACATTCAAATTTAAAAAAAACCGAATTCTAGTTTTAATGAGAGAGAAATTATTTCATATTATTTAATATTATAAAATGTGTTCGCCCTTATATGTACAATTTACAACAGTCAATATTGATTAACATAACAATAATTGTAAATAGTAATTTTAAATTTCACAAAAAACACATAATACAAATAGGAAATATCACAACAATATTGATAAATGGTAATGATAGTAGCATTATCAATGCTACAAATATTATTCATTTCCGATAGCTACCATTTTCAGAGAGAAAATATAATATGATTAACTTTCTATTGCCGTTCCAATTGAAGTTTAGCAGTTCCTTGCAAAATGGTTCAATTTTTTTTATAAGGTATGTAATTTGGGTCAAATTTATTTCTATTTGCAATTTAGTTTTAATAGGTTCTGAAGGAAATTATTGACGGAAATCATAACTAACGGAAATTGGTTAACAAAATTTCTTATTCTCTTAATGTAAAATTCAAATTTTTTTGAATTCTGTAACATAGCTATATAAATATTAAATATATGTATCTTTAAAATAATATGCATATAACTACCTATACATACATACTTACTTTTCTTTATCAAATTGTAAAAATGGATTATCATTTAAATAGAGCGTCTCTAAATTAATTGCTTTACCGATTGCATCTGATGGAATTTTCTCAAATTTATTATTATTTAATAATAATATTTTTAAATCATTTTTATGATGATTAAATAAATATGTTGGTAATTGTGATAGTCCCATATTAGATAAATCCATTTCCTAAAAAAAAAAACAAAAAAAAATAATTTTTTATAAGTTCACAAATATAAATAAAATTAATTTTAACTTACTGTTACATAGCCAAGACTTGATATAGCTTGATTACTTAAATCATCGATATGATCAAATGAATTTGAACTTAAATTTAAGATTTCAATTCTTGGGAAATGAATGAATAGATCTGGTTTTAAACTATGCAATTTATTACCAGCTAAATTTAAATGTGTTAAATTTTTCATTGGTTCAAATAAATGCGGATTATATCTTCCTCTAAATACATCTGGATCTAATGTTTTTGTATCTAATAAATTATATGATAAATATTTTAAATTAAATAATTTTGTAAATGCTCCATTTGTTATATTTTCAATTTGATTTTTATGAAAATTTAATATTTTTAAATTTTTTAATGATGGAAATTCTTGTATTTCCTTTAATAAATTCCCTTCTAAATTAATTGTTTCAAATGTATAATCATCATCATCATTTATCATTGCATCTAATTCATCTTTTGTAAACCAATCTGTTAAATTTTTATAACTGCAATCTAATACTTTAGCTGATTCATAACAAGAACATTTTGTACATAAATCAGTATCTTTAACTTTAATTGTTAAATTCTAGCATAAGAGAAATTAAAATTAATAAAAAAAACAAAACAATTAAATTAAATTTTTTTTTAATAATGCAGCTGCAGAACAGAAATATGACGTTAACAAAATTTTTCTTCCTGAACTGGACTCAATCCAGTGACCTACTGTTTTCTAGCAGGACGCTTTACACCTTCCAAACTACAGAGGTATGAAGATGTTATCAGCAAATTTTCCTCTAATTGCTATTAATTGTATTCATGACAGTAATCGTCATGAATACAATTAAAATTGTTTACATGCATTTTATTCGATCGCCTTTAAAATTTACAATCACAAGAATAAAATATATTAATAGAATATTGGCTATTACAATAATGTAAATTTTAATTGTAATAATTAAGTTTTCTACCTTGACTTGTCAACATTCTGTTCTGCAGTTGTATGAAAATGTTTTCATTATTTATTTGCATAAGAAATTAAAACAGTTGCAGGTTGTTATTGTTACTTAAGTACATTTAAAATCTAAACTTATAAAATTTACATGTGCAATTTAAATTTTTTAACACAGGGTGTTAATTACTATATATTAATCACAATACTTTTCAAAAATATTAAAACACGTTCATGTACAAGGAACGTGTCTGCTGAGCCACATATATGGTTCAGGAAACGTGCGAATTTTTATATTGAGACAGGGAATGTGTTAAACCTGCATCTGCTAATAAAATTTTAATATTTAAAAGCACTTGTCTTATTTTTTGCTCTGAATTGAATAAAATCAAAAATTTATCGTAAAATTTTAATGTTTTAATATACATAGAGTATAACTTACTCTTACTGGGATATCATTTTGTTGTTTTTCAGGTATAACTGTTGTACTTGTTATATTTTCATTATCAGCACAAATTCCATAAGACAGATTATATGATAAAAATAATATAAGTGATAATATTGAAGTCTGTTGCTTCAGAATTGAAAACCTAAAAATATTATAATAAAAAAAAAAATATTACAAATACTGTTATACATATTATATGAGAAAAAATTAAAATTATAAAATTAAATATTAATATAGACAAAAATGTAAAGTACATAATCTATCGGAAAAAATATCGGAAAAACTTTCTGTAAAAGGTCAAGATATTATATACAAGATGTAAGCTCCCATACAAGCCATAATCATGCAGAATATCGTTTTAAAATGTTTATAAAATCTCTACAACATTTATTCAAGAATTATTTTGAACATTGATCTTATAGAAAGCCCCTGGTCTTGAGAAAGATATTTTAAAATATAAATGTAACCATTTGAAGCCGTCGTCTATTATACTACCAAACTTTCACAAATTTTTTTTCATTTCTGCCGACGAGAGCTATTGTAAATGAAATAATTCTGACAATGGTTTTGGAAAGCCGGCTCAAAGATATATGTAACTCAAAGAGATTATTTTGAATATTTCAAAACATAATCTAGATATAATATAAAATTTTTGTTACTGTATGCCAAATTACAGTTTATATTACATTCTCAAAATCTTAATTGAATGGCTCTACTGGTGTGGGTAACTGTCATATACAACTCAAAAGAGCTATAATATTTAATATTTAAAAAAATAGTAAAGGTAGTTCCATGAAATTTGCTAGTCAAAATAGTTTTGTAATAGTTCGGCAAATATTTTTTTTTCGGAAAATGTTACATTGTATATGAAATTAAATTGTATATGAGGTCTCTTACTATCATACATGAATGATTTTCACAAATAAAATGTTCGGGTATTTCCCAATTTTTACGCATTTCATTTTTAATTCCTAAGAGACAACAGTAGTGTATTTAGTCTGGATAGTATACAAAATTTCTTAAAGAAAATTGTTGTCATGGTATACTGTGTTTGGAATAGAGTTAATTTTATAATAATAAGATTGAATTTATAACAGATTTATATTGTATAACACTTTAAAATTTTCGATAATAGAATCAACTAAAAAATATTGAAATATTATTTAACAAGAAAATTTGTTTAAATGTGTTTTGGGTTGGGCTCATTGATTTACTTTTTTTTTCTAATCTTATATATAAATTATATATTATCACATATATTAATTAGTTAAAAATCATACCTATATTTATTAATTTGTGATACTTTATGAATCATCATCATAATATAATATTAAAAATAAAATTTGTTATCGGCTTCAAGATAAAACAGGGCAAAAAAAAAACAAGTCATATTCTAATTTGTTACATAACTTATATCAGTGTTATACACCTTACTTCATTAATTTTATTATAATTTCAATTTATATGTCCAATATCGTCTGCCTGTCTGTGTATACATATATGTATATATATAGAAGTTATTACAGTAAGAAAATGCGCTCTTCAAAAATGTATTGAAGAGAATAAGCTATATGAAATAAATTTGACTAACTCTAAATATTAGTAACCCCGTAAATTCCAAAATGCACTGGAAAAATATTTTAGTAGAATTTAACTGTAATATTAATACCGTGAAGTAAAACTTTAAATTATAGAAACAACTGCATTATAGTCTAGATTTTAGACTATTAGCTGTTTGTATTCTCATTGGGTATTTAAAAAAATATTTTTAGCAATTTGGATTTCTGCTATACATTGTATAAATTTTTAATTCTATAATATGGATCACAGATACAATGTAGTACTATATTAATACTGCATTTTGAATGTCAATATAATTATATGTATCGTAGTTTCAAACATATATTATATAATAATTTTTCTAATTTTTGGATATGGGGGGATAAAAGTTGGCGTGGGTCCTAGTCAGTTTCACACTTTCCTAACATGTGAAGCTGAAAATGCTAGGAAATGCCCTCTGACAACATCAGCTCTGCCAACAAATCCGAATCTCATCTCCCAGAAGGAAGGTAACATAGTTATCTGCCGGGTGTCTCCTGGGCAACTTACTTAGTAAGACTGACGAGAGCGGGTGAAAGCGAGTACTCGGCGCTTAATCCGGGTTTCGTTGGTTAGGAAGCGCGTGGGCGGTAAATTCAGAAGCGTCTGACCTAGAAGAAGCGGCTCCCTGATCTGCGTCTGATCCCTGAGGGACGGCAGTTTTTGAATGCTGGCAGTAGGTATAAAATGCAGAATTTAATTATTTGTGCAATAGACAAGACAAAAGGATTTAGTACCCCAGGTGGTAATTCAACTACGTTGGAGAATCCACCCCCTTTGGAGGTCGGCTCTACAGATTCTGGGCAGAGCCATTTATTGTATTTGATTGATCCGTTCACGAGGAACGCGAAAACCCGGCGTTCATCACCTACATCTGATCTAATTTTTGAATAGAATTAAACTCGAATAAGTCAAATTTTTCTTTTAACCACACTTTATGGTTTTTTTGGAAGATGATATAAATTCCATTTAAAAGTGAAATATTTGGGGTCAAAGTAACCCAAAAATTCTGTTCTGTCTTATCCGACAATATAATTTTCAATTCCCACTATTGATATTTTCTTTGCTTTGGAAAACAGATTTGAAATTGCAAATAATCACTTAAGTCACTTTCAAAAGTAAACCATTCATATATCAAATTTATGAAATAATTTTTTCGGATAATATAAAAATATTAGTCTACTGTGATTAATAATAGTCGCAGGTTGTTATAAAACGAATTATTATACTGCCCTTTAAGCAAGCAATTATTAATAATACAATACGTATGTATGTATATGTATAACTTATCTTTTCAAGTACCTGTTTTGATTATTATTTTTTGTTCTATTCCGTCCATTTTTTACTATTTTGAAGTTATTTTAAATAAAGGGAGAATTATATTTATATAAAATAATAAATTTTTTTTTTTTTTTGGTTTTAAATATTATTTTTGAATAAATGAATCATTTATTTTGATAAGCGGACTAAGTCCATTTTTCCATTGCAAATAAAATATTGGTAACGTTGACGTTTTAAAATAATTTAGAAATCTAATTAACTAATAATACCATATATGTATGTATTTAATATTGGACTTATATATGAGGGTCTCAGACCCAAATTTTATGTACATCTTCTAGAATCAGTGATATTAGTTTCCAGTTTCGGAATAGTTTTTTTCCTCTTTATTTTTCATAAAAATACTTTTGCTTTTGAAAAATCAGAAAATTCTTACAATTTTCTGATTTTTCAAAAGCAAGGTGGCATAACCCACATTTTGACTTACGCCACTCTGCTTCTGAACCCCTCATGTACATATCAGGTGTAATGCACGTATGCATCATATTTATTTTTTCTAGAATTATACATAATTTTCAGCTGTCATCAATATAATTAGTATTATCATTGCCGGAAAATGAAAAATTTTTATTATTTTTTTTAAAAATTCGACAATTTTACAGTTTAATATAGATAATATAGACACCATTTAAAAAGAAATGTCAATATTGATTACATAATATAAATATGTATAACAGTTAAGTAATATTCGTCATATATATAATAGAATGTAATTTTACATTTTTAAAGAAAAAAGTTATTAAGTATAAAATAAAGAGCACATTTCACATAAATTTAAAAAAAATAAAAATACGATATTGAATAATTTTTTCTTTGTTCTTTGTCAGTTTGATTATGGTTACACTGAAAAAAAAATCTTCATTTTTTTTTTTTGGAAAAACATAATTTTAGTAAAAATAATTAAGTTTTTTTGGTATTTATAAAAATTTTCTTAAAATTATAATTTGATTTTAAAAAATATCACTTGTTTAAAAAAAAAATTGAAAAATAACCTTTAAAATTTATAATTTCACTTCGAAAGAGTACTGAACCCAAAACTAACTACAAATATTTTTACATTATGGCTTTCAATTTTATAAACTTTAAAAAAATTTTTGTAATTTTTACAAATTTTATTAAAGTTTAGTTAAAAAAACATGTTAATGATGAATTATTTTTTCTGAGTGTGTACGATGTATTTCATTATTAAACGAAATTTAACACACCGTACCGCACCTATTGATTCACTTGTATCATATTTTATTTATCTCATATATATATATACATAAATATATATATGTGTGTGTGTGTGTGTGAAATTATAATTAATTTATTAATATTTTAAACAATTAAATTATAGAACACTATTTTACTTACATTTTTATATTAATTTATTAATAATTTAAATAAAAATTATTAAAAAAAAAGTAGCGAAAATATAATTTAAATTGTAATGATAAATTGCACTTAATTATTTTTCACGTATTTTTTAATTTTAATTAATCCGTACATATTCCAACGAAAGCCCCTTTCAAACTATACAATGACTAAAATTTTTATCTATTTTAAAACACGAAAAAAAAGTTGACTCCCATTTGAAATATAAAGGTTTAACGGTACTTGCAATATAACGTTATCTAATCAATGGACAAAAAAAAAGCAGATATGACATTCTTATCTTATCTTTTAAGTAAAATGAAAAAAAAATCTCCAAAAAAAAATATGTTTTTAAATATTTGACAGTGTTTTTCAATCTTAGCATTAGACAGCCCTTAAGGTAAAGTTCACAACACATTAAAATATTTTTTAACTGCGGCAATATTAAGGAAGTTGCCTCGGATAATTTTAAACCTTTCATTATTTATATTTTCCAAGAAATTTTGTGTTTTCTTGAAAACGTTTTCAAAAAAAAATTTTTTTTTGATCAAATCCAGAGCATAAATTATAACTATTCCTATAAGAATGAAAATATCGTGCCATCTATTATCTGTAAAATAAACTATATCTATTACGTCACTTACATAATGTTTATGTATAATTGGACATTTATTTTTTACCGATCGCATTGTATACAATAAGGTAGGTTATGTGATAGCACCAAATCTTATATTTCGAGTTTTCGGTGCAAACGCACTTCTCTATAATAAGGAATCGTAAATAAACTATTTTTAGAGAGATCACTGTCTGCATTTCTATCTGTCGGTGCAGATTTGTATCCTAAGTTTGTTTAGAGTGATTTTCACAAAATTTTCACAGTTTTTTATATTTAAATTTACTTCCAGAGTGGATCAATGATTTGATCAACTTTTATGATATGATTCTCAAAACCTGAACCTCTACTATGAGCCAGCTGCATTTCATATTTTATTTATAATTTTTTAATGTTTATCAAATATTATATTATATAATCCTTGTTGACAGTACGAGAAGTCACCCAACGTTTCGCTTACATTTTTGCCATTAAGCAGAGAAATAATTAACGAATTTTATAAAAAAAAAAAAAAATAATCAAATTTAATTTTTACATTGAGGGTGTTAAAACGTAACTTACAAATTTATGTTGCTCAGGGTGTTAAAACGTACGGACTTATAAATTTTTTAGAAATATGAAGGCTTGGGAACAGAGGTCAATTAGGGTCAATTTGACATTTTTTTTACCCTATCTAGGGAGCTAATTGACAGAATTTCTTCCGTATTCTACCCGAAAAGGCGAATTTTTCTGTGAATTGAAATGATCTAAAGTCAACCTGTACTAAAAACCAAATTTTCATTTTTCTAGATATTTAAATAAAAAGTTTAAGAATGTCCTTAAAATGCACTATTAGTGTTTAAACGACATTTTCATTGTGCAACAGTTTCACAAACCAGAAATAATAACCAGTTGTACGCTAACCGTATCAGATTTTAATTTTTTATTGTTCACGGTTCAAAAAGAAAATTAAAACTTTGAGTCTACAAAAAAAAAACATTTAAAATTTACACGAAGTTGTTGAAAATATTCCGAAATATTTGTTTGTTTTCTCTTTTGCACTAGCGCTAATACAGTTCGCTCTAGAACTCTTTTGTTAATAAGTTATCCAAACCATTATATTCTTATTAGTCCAATTTAGTGCCGTTCTCAAACTCAAGAAGATTTCGTTTTCTTTAACCTACAATGTTTACTGTTAATTGTTTTTTGTCAATTATCCTTACGTATATGAGATAAGCCACTCGCTACAGATCGCGTTATGATAATCTATAACGATTGTATTTTATTCATTACTAATATGCAAGAGATGAGTTTCTCTGAGTTCGTGTTGCTTCAGCAACTGCTTTTAATCAGTTTGCACTATATAGAAGAATATTTTAGTGTTGCGAACGATAATACATAGTGTGTTGTCTAATTTTTTTTCTCAAACAGATGTTCAATAGGATTAAGGATTTTGGATTGTTGAACTGAGAAAAATATTATTTTAACAGTAATGTTTTGTTTATGCAAATCGTATATTTTGATATACGTATGCAATTTGTAAGGTTTTTTGTATACATAACGAAAATTTAAAAAAACAATTTTTTTTTAAGTTACCCTGTATTTTATACATGGATATAGTATTTATTCTTGGTACCTATGCAAAAATATATAACAAAAAAGTATGCAATAGTAATATTATAGCTATATTGATATTGAAATATAATTGTATATAATTTCATGTATAAACATATACATTCATATGTATGTACTTTTATAATATTAGAGCCTAGCTTTTATAGGGCAGCATACACAAAAACTTAAATGAGAAATTTACTAAACTTATAGTTCTAAAAATTGTTTTGACTATGTATGTATTTTATAAAAACATACGCACATCACAATTATAGTTCTATATCTATATCTATTATATGTATGTATTTGTGAAGGGGAATTTTCTGTACTACAAATTAAATTTTTGTATTTAAAATGCTTTTAATGTTTCTGTTTTTTGTTTTGTAATTACAAGTTGTTTAACAATAATAATGAACAGAGCAAAAACGAACCGTTTCTCTAATATAGCTATTTTATCATTTTCTGATCAGAAGCTTTCAACAATCTTACATAAAACCTGTTCAATTTAGTGTCGTGTCTAACCTATGTTAGAATATAAATATCGAAAAGTGCACTGCTCTTGCAAATGCTTCCACCATCTAAGGGACTTATTTGGGAGTGTATGCCCTGTTATGAGTTTTACTGCGGTATTTTAAAAAAAGATTCAGCAGTAATTATATATTTACTAACTGACCAATTTTATTTTAAAGAAAGAACAAGCTACAAGTAATACAAGTAATATGACAGAATGATCTCTCGACCAGCAATGCAACTACAAAACTTAGCCAGAAATACATACGCACAAAGCATAACAATTAAGCCTATCAATTTCTTAATTGTTGACATCTCTTTTGGATTAGAAAAAGTTTATTTCTTTAAAAATGCGACTGAAGACCATGTCATGCTCCTTTTTGATTCCAAATATTATTAGTATTGATCTGGTATTAACAAGTTTAAGGAGCAATCATCGGCTTATAATTTATAACATCAAAATTTTGTGATAAATGTTCATGTACTTTTGATTTTTGAGAAATTGATATCAGATAATGTTTATTGAGACGTCCTATGCGCCTAAGTAAAATCACTAATTTTATGCTGGTAAACACTTCACACAATTTAAAGGTTCCATCGTTCTATTTGACTGAATTTAAAAATGAAAAATTATTAAAATAATTTTATTGAGTTCCCTACGTATTTTCTTATTATTGTTACTGAATATTTTGTTGTTTTTGTAATTGATCTTTTTTTTGCTTCAGTTGTAGATTTTTGCGTATTTGATGTACATATATTATTGTTTGAATATGTAACTAAAGCCTATGCAATACAGTATATGTATATTTAAGAGAATAAAATATAATTTATATATGCATATATATATATACATACATATATTTGTTTATATGCATTTCAAAATTAATATTATCCATTTCATTTACTCATTGATTCATCCATTTATTTTTTCCATACATCAATTTATTTCTATAATTTAACATATATATATTTGTATATAAATAGGATTAGTTATGGATATGAATTAATTTCTCTCGCGTATGGTATACCAATTTAGTTCTCACTTTTATTATGTGTATTTAATTTCAAATTAATTTCAGGTTAATATTAAAGATCACAAAATTTTTAAATTTTTAACTGTTATACAATCGATTTATGCAAAATTTATAATTGTAAGAAAAATCATCGACGTACTTATTTGAAAAACGAAATAAAATTAAATTATATAAAATGTAGAAATTATATAAAATGTGAACCTTGACTGTTGCACCATTGCCTGCAATATTTCCTTCAAATTGCCTCAAAAGGAGGAGAGTGCGAAATTATAGCACATGATCACATTATCCGAGTTGTAAACCAAAATTTTTTAGTAATGTTACATGATCCTAAATTACTTATTCACAAAATATAACTGCATTACTTGAAATGTCAAAAATAACAAATGCTGTGTACAAACAAACATACAATGATGTATGAAAATAAGTCAAAATATACACCAATATTCTGTTAGTCGTGTCACTTGATGTCATAAAGTGTTACTGAAAAATCTTGTAATTTTCTAATAAAACAAATAAATTCCGATTCACTAAGAAATAATCTTAAAAGATAAATTTCGAAATTCGAAATTCTATACAAAAAATCGAAGTTCTTTTCAAAAATAACTCATCATCTCCGGTAATGCGAATGCGACTAATAGAATATGGGCAATTATTTAAAAAATGCAATTTATGAGCAATGTTTTGTGTATTATTGTAGCACTATGGTGCACTGCTGGAAGTGACATATGGAAATGACATTTGTTTTAAATTAAGTTTATAACAAAGTTTTACGTATATGATAAAATATTTTGTTCTTATGCCTTATGTCATAACTGTCATTTTTAAAAATTTATCCTAAATAAAATTTATGAAGGCTTTAGAAATGTTTTTTTGAAAAGTATTTTTGTTTGATTTAAGTAAAATAGAAAAATGTGCGTAATTTCTCTAGTGTGCTAACTTGAATTTTACAAAAAAAAATAAGAGAGTATTGTTTATAATCAATTATATTATTTGCTTTATACATGCTATTTACATCTAATCTGATTAGATTATCACTGATTAAGATTATCACTGACAGTTGAAATGAACAACTAACATAAAACATTTATTGTATGATATTTATATGTGTATATAACACATTGGATATACTATATTATATTGATGTTATATATATGACATACGTACATGCATTCATACACACCTATTATATACATATACATACATACGTACATACATATTAATATTTTAGCGATCATAACTATTGTTGTAATTTGAGATGAAAAATTTTAATATAAATATATTCCAATGTATGTACACACACAGAAAGCTAAAAGAACAAGACAAGTTAATACAAAAAAAAAAAAAAACAGAAACAGAAAATAAATAAATAAATAAATAAAATATAATGTTTG